CATGCATATTGAACCCATATGTTTGTGAATTCTCCATTGTTCATTTTTGATTAATTGTAAATGGAAATTGTCATCTGTCATAGATGTATGCATTTCTTATTTAACAGCCAGTCTTCTTGTAGGTGCATGTGAATGTGCACATACAGTATGCATGTCTTGGTTCCTGGGCTATATATGTGAATGCAGCGCTTCCACACTTAACACGCGCGTGTGCACACAAAACACACCTGGCCATCCATCACTGTCTGTCTTCCTCTCAGGCAGCAGATGTTGCAGCCCTGTCATAATTCTTTGGCAGTTTGAAATCAGACAGTGTCTTTAGGGCCCCTGGGGTCTAACCTACTTACACTGCAGTCTTCACCCCTTTCTCTGGCGTATCATCTGCTAACATGTTGACTTCCTGTGCATTAACATTACATAGCATAGAGGTACAATGAAGGTTTGCAATAGCCCATACGTCTGTTTTAGGAGAAGAATAATATGAGGTACAGATGAGAGGTGACTGGGAACTTTGCTTGTTGTCCTGGATGTGTATTCATATTTTACCCTCCGACGATCTCCACTTAATACTTACGTCTGTCTTTGTGTTTGTGCCTACCTGTTTGCAGTGTTAGATCGCATGACTACAGCGGCTTCTGCAGCCTATTCTGTTTAACTGGATAGAACAACAAAGAGCTGTATTTCTCTCTGCTGGTTTGTATGCATCATAAACCATTGCAAAACATCCTCTATAACAGAGAAAGTTTAAACAGCATACAGTATGCGTGTACAACGCGCCACACTCATGTCTACTTCCCTCACTTCACCAGCTGCTGAAAAATAAACATGTCACACACTTTCATCTAGACATAACTCCTCAAGACAGCAACACTTTTCACCGAAGAAAGAAGGAGAGCATATTTTCTGGGGGAAACAAAGACTTGAATCTTAGATTTATGTTAGCAGGAAAGAGTTGTTTTGGGACATATGCAGAAGCACGTTATTAATTTTCACAAAGCTCAAGTGCCCAATGTTATGAATTAATTTTTTAGGATATTTGTAAGACTTGAGCAATGGAAGGAAAGAGCATTAATCTATATTTTTATTCCAGAGAGGATGTTGAAATACCATAAATTGGAAACAGCACTACATCAGTTTGACTGACTGAGTGGATTTCACCTTTTGTGAACCTTTTGATTATGGTCTTGAATAGTCATTCAAGACAATCAATCTCATAGTATGTGATTTTAGTATATGGTACTAATTATAATATATGATACTGCTCTTAACTGTACTATACTGCACCATACTAAAATGTACTAAATTATACTAAATTGCTATACTAAATGTTATTATATAGCTATTGCCTATGGTTCTGTACTGTACTTTACTGTATGGTACTACAATATAAAATACAATGATATTCTAAAGGTATAGCTACTGCATACTATATGGTGCTATACTATACTATATAATGCTATACTATAGTATTTGGTACTATGGTATGCTATTTTATACTACCCATACCTTTGTTCATGCTGTAGGTAGACCAAATATGTTATATGTTTCTGCTCAGCCAACAGAGAAACAAGTCCTTTGTGTTTATTTCCTCTACTGTGTATTAAGATAAGAAGATAAAAGGAAGTATCAAGCAATGACACATCAAAATCAGAACCTGGATCTTGTGAGACACAAACAGTGCTGATGTATCTGAATATCTGCATTCCCAAAACAAAAACCCTGCATATGTATGGGCTGCGTTTGAAATCTCTGCCTATTCCTATATAGAGCACTGTATTATTGTCCATTATTGTGTATTTGAGAATCCAAATTCTGACTGAATTCTGTACGCTGTAGTGCCGTCAGAAGTGCAACCCATTATTACATAAATCACAGTTGAGGAATTACCCTTGTCAGTGAGGATTCTGAATGATTGATGTGAGTGTGTGAAATCTCAACTTACTGCTCACTAGCTTAAACTTTGGAGTGTCTGTGATGGAATAGTGAATGAGTCATGGTGGTTCTTAGTGCAACATTTCATTTCTATTAAATATATGTAAAATGTTTACATATAAATGTGAAAAATTATTAAACAAAGAAACCCAAGAAGTGTCATTACCAAGTAGTCTTTTAAAGATAAAAAATAATACTTATTTGTCCCGTAACAAATGGTCTTTAGACAGCTAATGTATTCAGTCATGTTCAGCAGTCAGCTGCAGTTTAATATAATGATACTCTTACATTGCCAGAGCTATTTCCACACTCCATTTCACTGTGCCAGCACAGAATAAAGCTCTGGCTGAACCTGCTGTCATTCTGAATTTCTTAAACTATCTGGGTTGTTTGAATTATTTTGTTTAACCAATCAGAATTGTCAGTGGCGGGCCTAAAGTGTGCTACACACCGGTACTCTGTTTAAATATAGTATAGACTTACTTAGAGCTTAATTTCTCTATTCTCTACCCAGTTAGATCCTTCTTGCCTGTCCCTGTAGTCTTTTCAGACAGCAGGCCTTCTGACCAAGTGGACACAACCATCATTGAGCCTTATGAGCCACCACACAGTATTTCGAACAGCTTTCAATTATAGCCCTGCTTTACAGCCACAATGATTTGTTAGTGGATACAAGGGCAGTGTTTACAGCTAGTTTCCCCTACTGTGGGTGATCCTTTTAAAATGTCTTGTGAAAAAACAGGAGGTGAGACGGAGGGTTATGGGGCTCAGAATGGACTTGGAAAATAGTCTATGAACGTACAATAATATGTTACTGGTCCAGCTGTAAACCACTAACCTCTGCACATGTGGACTGTTAGGGAGGAGCAGGGACACACCTACTTATTTCAAGATCAAACATACACATCCTGCCTACAGAGATGAAATGATATTCTGCGTCTTTACAGTCTTATGCTGTAGCTGTTTTCTCTATTTGAGGAAAGAATAGGTGGGTTGAAGAACAGACAGTGAATCAATAGCTCTTGAAATTGAGAGCTGGTATTATTTGTAAGCTTCCATCGGTAATTCTCTTGGTGCGGATCTGTTTTGACAGTTACTTGAACGGGGAGATTGGTTAGGTAAAGGACAATGAGAACGGACACGTCCCACGTGTTTTAGATTTGTGCTTAACTTGCCTTGTTTTGATTACTGGACATTTGCTGGAAGTAGTTTGTTGGAGAAGAATGCAAGACTTACCGTGCTCTAACATAACTTTATCCTTCTGTTTTATCCTTCCTGTGACTCTCACAGTGGTGGAAAGTTACTGCGTACATTTGCTCCAGTACTGTACTTAAAGATAGTTTCAAGATTTTGATTCTTTACGTTATTATTTCTGTTTGATGATAATGATGATACTGTATATTTCGATTCTGTGACCACATACCAGAGTGAAATATTATCAGTAACTAAGAACTTTATACTAAACTGCATTTATCTGATGTTATACTTACTAGTGACTTTACAAATAAAGACTATACACACAACACATATGATCAGTTTGTAAAATATGATGCAGCTTTATATTGAAATAAGCACCGTCTCAACTCAAATAATCAAATATGTCTCATAAAATACAAAAACACTAAACACAAAAAGAAACTATTCTGTATAATGACAGCTTTTACATTTGATACATTGGTATATTTTCCTGATGATACATCTGTACTTTACGTAAAGGTCCAGTGTATAACATTTAGGAGGATCTAGTGGCATAAATGGAATATAATATTCATAGGTATGTTTCCATTAGTGTATAATTTTCTTTAAAATAAGAATAGTTATGTTTTTGTGACCTTAGAATGAGCCATTTTTATCTACACACGCCGCTGGTCGCTGTCTTTTCATGAGTCCACCATGTTGAACCAAACACTGGCTTAAGGTAGGGCTTTTAACTACATATAAGCATTAGTTGCTTTAAGAGCTATCTACAGCCCGCTCCTCTTTACAACTAACACTTTATTAAGGCCTTGACTTGAAGTGCTTATCTTTCCTTGCCAAATATTTTCTTTCAGGATGCCATCACCCACCATAAGCATAGAGGATACTTCACCTCGAGGGTTAGAGCTACAGATTGGAAGCTGTTACCAACGGCAAAGACTTTGCTATTTCCACAGGAACACTCTGGATTTATCTTTGCAACCTTTCTCCCTCTGTGCTTCTGTAGAGGATGTTGGAATAGGTCAGGGTGGTGATATAATGAAAGCTTAAATAAGACACACACACCCAACACACACCTCTGCATTAACTCTGCCGCATGATGTGGCGCCACACTCCGTAACTATGGCAACGGCAGTCTGCACTGCACCTCCCTATATATATGTGTGTGTGTGTGTGTGTGTGTATAACTCCTCACTGTGTTCCCTGTGGACAGATTAATTCCCTGCCAGATTCATTCCTTGTCAACTTGCTGAAACAAAAAGTTTCTGTTTTAATTAGTTCGGTGCAGTGTCTCGCTTCATCTATCTATCTGTATAGTGTCTCTCTCTCGCGCTCACTGTCTCTCTCTCTCTCCCTCTCTCCTCCTTCACTCTTCCTCTTGCTCTCTAGTGTAATTAAAGACAGTCAGTGCGGATAATAGAACCGTAATAGTGTGTAATTGCAATAATCAATACACAGTGCATACTAAGGAACTTGCCATTCATCAATATACAGATATAGAGAGAGGACACAAGATGTTTTTTAGAGCAAACAGATACTTGGCCCTCATTCATCTACATATTATTTAGGCTGTAATTGGTCATATAGTGAGTGTCTTTAATTTGCAAACATAAAACAAATGCTGCGTTGTGTTTTTATGTACTTAGAGTATGTATCAGTTACTATATAATACTCCACATCAAATATTAGCCTTAAAGAACCAGCGTGGAGAATTTAGT